TTAATGAAACCATATTTGTGCAGATTTAAGTTCTCGCTACATAAAATTCGTACGAAATGGAAAAGGGAATAGAGTAATGCCATAGTGGAGAAGCTGGGCAGACATCACCTTCATCAACTAGTCAAAAGTGAACATCGTCACTAATGAGATAAGGCAAAATCATGTGGACCCAATAGGAAGCATCACTTCAGTGATACTCCTGCCAAAGATGCACAGCCTGAGTCTAATCATACCTAAATTGAGGAGTTCTCCAAAATAGCTGGCTTATCATGGAAGTGTCAAGATCATGAAAGTCAAAGAAAAGCCGATGAAAGTTCCCAGATAAAAGTTGGAGTAAAGATCTATCAAGACTGAATGCAACTCTTGATTCTGGACTTAACTGTTTTCCTTTAAATACATTATTTGGATAATTGAAAATCTTGAGTAGGGTGTGAACGTTGGATGGTGGTAAAATATCAATATTATTTTCATTATCGCAATTATTATGTGGGAGAATATTCTTACCTATGGAAACACACACCAAAGAGTTTGAGGAGGTAGACATCATGGGAACAATAGGCAAGGGAAAAATTTACTTGTACTGTCATTGACATTGTTCCTTAGTTTGAAGATTAAAAACAAAATGCCATGTCATATGACCCAGCAAGCTCATTCCTAACTATATAGTCAAGAGAAATAAACAAACTGATGCCTGTTGCATGGTGTCATTTATATAAAATTCAAGCAAAGCCAGTCCATGAGGATGGAAATCAGATTATTGATTGCTTTTTAGGGGAAGTAAGAGAAAAGGGCAAAAAAGAACTTCTTAGAGTACAATGTTCTGTATCTTTACCAGGTAGTGGTTACCCTACTATATGCATTCGGCAAAATGCATTCAGATGCACAATTTTGATTATGCATTTTATTGCAAGTAAATTATGCGTCAATAAATTACTGTGAGCTTTAAAAAAAATGGTGGTGGAAAAATGCAGCCTTTCCGATTTTCTTGTTTCAGTATCCTATGAATAAGATAGTCAACAATCTCAGCCATTCTTTTTGCTTTGCGTTTCTCCTGTTGCATTCCAAAAGTAGTCCCTCCACACTCCTCCTCACAAAGAAAAAGAACTTGTTTGTAACGACCTCTAAGCAAATTCCACCACATACATAAAACTCGCAGGAAGTCTCTGGAATTATAAAAGTTTGAACAAGAGAGCATTTTGGTCTAATGTATGCAATCCAATATAACACAATACCTTATGTCTAGGGAATATATTAGCAAAATTACTTTTTATTACAAAGCACTAGGCCTTCAAGAAATTCTTTATGATTCACTAAAATGGTAGCGAAGTATGGAAGATTTTGTTTTTGCTGCGTTTTCCAGAGACCACACACCTTATATTGAATGAATCTGTAATTGTTGGGCAATTTCGTTTTCCAGTTGAACAGCACTTTTGAGACCATGTTTTTCTGAGAGGTCGTGAAAAGAAAATTGGAAATATTACATATATGCTGACATGACATAGAAGGGTCCTTTCATTTTGCATTTTCTTTTTACCTCTGAATGAAGGCAAAAGTCTCTTTTAAGACACAAATGTTTCCTTTGGGTTCTCTCCCTTGAATAAAAACCATTTATCCCATACTTTGAGACAACATGTCTTACAGATGAAGGTTGAGGTCAAGGTAGTTGTTGTGTTATTTTGTGAACATGCGAAGTCCATTCACTCCTTATGTAAATCAAATACATATCTTAAAAACACTAAATATTCGTATTTTTACATGCTCTTAATATACTATTATTTTTCAAAAGACATTTCCAAAGGAAATTGCTCCTTCCCCTTTTGCTTCTTTCATTTCAAATGAGGATATTTACATTGAGAACTTTCATTGAATTGAGTTTTTTGCCTATAGGCCATTGACATGTGTAAGCCTTCGTCAAGCCCATATGAGACTTCTCTTAACCTCAAGCAGACATTGTGACCATCCATGTGGTTTTAGTGCTCAAGTTATGTCAAAATGGTGAGCTACATTTATGACCTTTCTCTTAATAGGAATTTCTTCTTATTTCCATTGTTTGGGAGCCTGGATTTTATTAGATCCAGTGAACTAAGTGAAAGTTTAATGAAAGTCAGGGTCTGAACACAGAAACAATTCTTCAATTTTAATTAGTTGCCAGGATGCCTTTCTTTTCTTTTTTTTAATGTTCATTTATTCTTGAGAGAGAGAGAGAGCCAGGGAGGGGCAGAGAGAGAGAGGGAGACACAGAATTGGAAGCAGGCTCCAGGCTCTGAGCTGTCAGCACAAGTATTTCTAACCCAGATGGTGATACCATAACAAACTAACTATAAGCTTTTTTTTTTTTTTTTTTTTTTTGTGGAAATACCTGCTAGCTCATACAGTTTTGGGAATATCATTTCCTTCCTTTTGCCTTTCAACTATTAGGCCATATCACTCATGACCAACTTCCTTCTATATTTCTGCTCTCAATGATATTTTTCCTTTCAAAATAGCTGTATGTAAAATTCATTGTGATGTTTGTTTTAGTTTCTTAGAGTTCTATAGGTATTTTATGAATAGATGGCTTAATCTATATAATACATTGTCATAAAATCTTAAGAGAGAAGTAAACATTCTTTTTAAGAAATTAGGGGAGGGGCACCTGGGTCGTTCAGTCGGTTAAGCATCTGACTCTTGGCTTCGGCTCAGGTCATGATCTCATGGTTTGTGGGTTCCAGCCCAATCAGGCTCAGTGCTTCTGGTGCAGAACCTGCTTTGGATTCTCCTTCTGTCTCCCTCTCTCTGCTCCTCCTCTGGTCTCTCACTCTGTCTCAAATATAAATAAATAAACTTAAAAAAATAGGGGGAAAATTACAAAATACCCCAGGCGGTAAGAGAGAAAAGAAACCTGATAAAGGATATAAATCTCTGACAAGTAAGGGTAAGTAAAATTGAGAAAACACCTTAAAAATTGACTATAAGAAATGAGATAGCATACAGTACACCTGGGTGGCTCAGTAGGTTAAGTGTCTGACTCTTGATATTGGCTCAGGTTGTGCTCTTGCAGTGCTGGGATGGAGCCCTGCGCTGGGCTCTGCTCTGAGCACAGCCTGCATGGGATTCTCTCCCTCCCTTTCTCTCTGCCCCTACCCCACTCAAGCATGCATGCATGCATGCACACACACACACTCTCCTCTCAAAATAAATAAATAAACTTAAAAAAGAAAAAATATTTTAAAAAGCAGTGAGATAGTATGTATAAACACAGACGTGCAGTTGCATTGGAATTGATTTGAATTTGTAGAGTAAATTGATGTTTTATAGCAAAATATATACTACTAATATTGATTAAAAAAAGGTAGACACTATGAACAAACAATTCAGGAAGGTAGATAAAAGTATCCCAATTAAGAGAGAAACATGCTCTAATCCCTTGATAAATTTCTATCTAAACTTTAAATAGAAGATACTTCCAAGATTTATTCCAGGTTCTACGTGGCATAGGATAGCTTCTCAATTAGATTTAGGATTAAGGCATAAAGTTGATATCAAACTTTATAAATGTAATACAAAGAAATTGAAACACATTTATTTTACCTATACATATATATGTTAAAACTTGAAAAAAATGAGGCTAAAAAAAATCAAAAATAATATACCATTACCAAGATCACAGAATAGTTCAGTAAATCCATGCTAATAATTTATCATGACTAAAAAGATCACAGGACAAAAATAGGACTCTATCAATAAGGTACCTAAAAACTTACTCTACAAATTGGTACTAAAAACCCTACATCACAGGAATAGAAGAAAACCACTTCATGTAAGAAATACTATTTTCCAATAGCAAACATCAAATTAAATGAGACATGCTCAGTTCCTTTCATTAAAGTTAATCATAAGGCAGAAACATCAGCTATTACATTATTTTGGAGATTTTAGTTAATGCAATAAGAGTAGATAAAGAATATCAGCATAAATTTTAGAAAATAAAATAATCTTTATCTTAATGTTGTATGATTGAAGACTTTAGAAAGGAAGTAGGAAGGAAAGAAGGAAGGAAGGATGGAAGGAAGGAAGGAAGAAAGGAAAGGAGGGACAAAGGAAAGATGGTAGATAGAAAGGAAGGAAAGTCTTGGGGGGTGGGGAGTCAAGTACTAGAATTAAGTAAGGTGATAAGGTGCCTGGACCCAATATAAATATACAAAATTAATGTTTTCCCCTTATGCTAGTAATATCCAGGTTGTAAAGGAAACAAACAAAAAAAAATACAATAAATATAACCTACAAACACCAAAGGATAAATTTAAAAAAGAAAACAACAAAATCTATATGAAAACAGCCAAAATCTTTTTTGTTGCACATAAAGTAAGACCTGAGATAATGGAGAGAAACTATGTGTTTCTGGATAAGGATAAATAATATCATATAAATATCAGTCACTCTAAAAATTAGTAAGCATATGTAATTTTAATTAGATGATGTTTTAACTTGACTACAAAAATTTTAAAATTAATATAGCAATAAATATCTTCAATAACAACAACAACAAAAAGACAACGTGGATTAGTGAAGAAGGAAATATCTTTTCCCACATATTAGAAAATTGTATAAAGCCATATAATTAAAACCATATAGATATCACCCAAGAATAACCAATCAATCACAGAAAAAGAATAAAGTCAAGAAATCAATGAAACTCTATATTAAATATATATGGAAAAATAGCATTATAATTCCATAAAATATAATATTTTATCAATAAATACTGCAAACAATTATTATTCATTTGGGAAGAAATACAATAAGAGTGCATAAAACATTTAAATATTTTTAAAAATCTAAAATATTAGAAGATAAGTTAAAGTTTATTTATTTTTTTAAGTTTTATTTAAAATTTTTAATGTTTATTTTTGACAGAGTGAGAGAGAGAGAGAGAGACAGAGCATGAACGAGGGAGGGTCAGAGGGACAGGGAGACGCAGAATCTGAAGCAAGCTCCAGGCTCTGAGCTGTGGTTGGCCGCCAATTCATGTTAGGGTTAGGAGGTCTGCTACTAGGAGTCAGAATAAGCATTGGCTTAGTGGTCGAAACATTATTCCTTGTTGTTTGGAGGTGTGTAGGGTTGGGATGATTGCTAGGATTAGGATGGAGAGTACTAGGGCTAAAAAAGGCACAGAGCCAGATGTGAGGCTTGAAGTCACGAACCATGAGATCATGACCTGAGCCGATGTCCGACACTTAACTGACTGAGCCACCCAGGTGCCCTAGAGTATATTTATGCCTTTCAGTGACAAAAATGTCGTAAGAAATGAAAGAAATGAAAGAAATTCAGAACACATTAAAAATAAATTTGACTGTAGTGTATTTGTGTTTTTTAAAAGGCTAAAGCTATAATAAAATGGAAAGAGCATTTGAAATATACATGACAAAGATTTGTTATTCTTAATCTGTGAATAGTACCTCGAGACCAACAGGAATTACACAGATCATCTAATAGAAATGTGGGTAAGATATTTTAAAAGGCAATTCTCAAAAGATGAAAAGCAAATTACTAATAAACATAAAAGGCTAGTCAACTTCTTCTACAAGTCACAATAAGAAACCACCTATGGGCTTTGCAATTTTTAAATGATATAATTCAGAATTGGTGAGAATGTGAAGAAACAGGCCTTTCTAAACATTGGCTAGACTGAGATTTGATTACATCAGAATGGAAGCTTCCCATAAACCTGAAAAGAGGTTCCTTTTAGAATTAATCCTCTCATACCAGATGGGTTTCTTATTCTACTGAATTGTATAAATGCCCTAATCAGTAGTACAAATATTTGTTTCTTATTTAAAAAAAAAAAAAAAGCAATCAAAGAAATATAGGTTCCAAACAACTCTGAGGAACTGGGTTCCAATGCCTTGCAAGAATCATATCAACACCAACAGCCAGTGGTTGCCATGATTAATACAAAAACTAATCTAAGACATCCTCAGAGGGATGGAGGGGGCTATGTCAGACTTGTCACCTGAGATTCAGCTTTGAACTTGGAGATGTATCTAAGTTGAGCACATTATTGCAGTCAGAAAAACCTAAATTTTAGACCCACTTTGGCCTTCTCTATGGGAAAGACTAATGGTTTCTATTCCACAGCAATGTTTGAAATTTGAGATGACAATGTACAGAAATAAGATATGCACATGTTATTGTAATTTAGATAGAAATAATCTTATGAATAATAAATATTTAACACATTACCTGAACACACAGTTCTGAGGGGTTCATGTATATTAACTTGTTTAATTCCTTACAATTGCCCTGCGAAATAGTTACTTTCGTTATCTTTATTCTAAAAATGAGGACACTGAGTTAAAGGGATACAAAGTAGCTTCCCTAGGGCAAAAACGCACAGAGGTCCAAAGCTGGGATTTGGTGCCAGATTTAGAGGCCTTCATCCTCTATTGCTTTCCCACAGTTTATGGACATGAATCCGTATTTGTTGTATTTTGCAGAAATTATGACCTGAAAATTTTTTGTAATTACATTTTATCATCTCTTCCCTGTCTACTAATTGAGATTGTATTTGTTCTACAATCTATCCCAACTTTCACATTGAGATCAGATTTCCCTGTTTATTGAAATTCTATAATACACACACACACACACACACACACACACACATTTATTTTTTTTAAATTCATTAGTTAACATACAGTGTAGTATTGGTTTCAGGAGTAGAACCCAGTGATTCACCACTCACATATAACACCCAGTGCTCATCCCAGCAAGTGCCTTCCTTAATGCCCATCACCCATTTAGCCCATCCCCCACCCACACTCCCTCCAGAAACCCCCAGTTTGTTCTCTGTATTTCAGAGTTTCTATGGTTTACCTCCATCTCTGTGTTTATCTTATTTTTCCTTCCCTTCCCCTATGTCCACTTGTTTCTTAAATTCCACATATGAGTGAAATCATATATTTGTCTTTTTCTGCCTGACTTATTTTGCTTAGCATAATACACTCTAGTTTCACCCTGTTGTTGCAAATGGTAAGGTTTCATTATTTTTGATCACCGAGCAGTAGTCCATTGTGTGTGTGTTTGCTTGGGGGGGGGCATATCTTCCTTATCCTTTCATCAGTCAATGGACATTTGGGCTCTTTCCATACTTTAGATATTGTTGATAGTGCTGCTAGAAACATTAGGGTGCATGGGGTGCCTGGGTGGCTCAGTCGGTTAAGCATCCGACTTCGGCTCAGGTCATGATCTCACGGTCCATGAGTTCGACTCCCGAGTTGGGCTCTGTGCTGACAGCTCAGAGCCTGGAGCCTGCTTCGGATTCTGTGTCTCCCTCTCTCTCTGCCCCTCCCCTGCTCATACTCTGTCTCTCTCTGTCTCAAAAATAAATAAAAACATTAAAAAAAGTTTTAAACATTAGGGTGTATGTGCCCCTTCAAATCAGCATTGTTGTGTCCTTTGGATAAATACCTAGTAGTGCAATTGCTGCGTGATAGGGTAGTTCTGTTTTTAAATTTTTGAGGAACTTCAATACTGCTTTAAAGAGGGGCTGTACCAGTTTGAATTCCCACACACAGTGCAAAAGCAGTTCCCCTTTCTCCACATGGAAATTCATCTCCACATTAAAATACATTTTAAAATCTGTCTTTCCCCAAAGTATCCAGGCACACATTATTTTATTGAGTTTTGCTTTATTGTGCTTCACAGATACTGTGTTTTTTTTTTGTTTTTTTTTTTAACAAATTAAAGGTTTGTGGCCACCTGGCAACAAACAAATCTATTGGTGCCCTATTTCCAACAACATTTTCTCACTTTGAGTCACATTTAGGTATTCTTGTAATATTCTTGTAATATTTAAAACTTTTTCATCGTTGTAATATTTGTTAGGGAGATCTGTGATCAGTGATTATGACTCGCCGAAAGCTCAGATTATGCTTAGCATTTTTTGGCAATAAAGTATTTTTTAATTAAGGTGTGTACTTTTTTTTTAATGCAATGCTACCACATCTAATAGACTACAATGTGGTGTTGGAGTGACTTTTATATGTGCTGGGAAACCAGAAAGTTCATTTCACTTGCTTTGTTGTTACTCACTTTCTTGTGGTGGTCTGGAACTAAACCCACAATATCTCTGAGGTATACCTATATAAATTGCAAACTCGACCGTCAAAGTCAACGACATCAAACTTTGAGCCCTTCTGAGAGCTGTCACTTGTATATATGCCTATTCTCTCTCTACTCTTTTCTCCAAGAGAAGGACATCCAGTGGCTTCCATTTGATGGAAGAGGAAGGTGATGCTCATGTGACTTCATAAAACAAGGGAAAGAGTGGAGGGAGGCAGGCAAACATTCAGCACAAGATTCTTTTGTCATTGTGGTTTGCTTTTTCTTTTGTTTCGTTTTCCTTTGCTTTGTTTTGTTTTGCTTTGCTTTAATTTACCTCAACAATTCACCACTGCATAGCACATATGATTTAGTTGACAGAAATTTGGTTTGCAGAGTTCTTCAGGAACATACCTTTGATGGCATGAGGCAAAGCTGTGGAGACACTTTCAGTAACTGAAGAAGAAAATAACCAACTTACAGATCATCGATGCCTTTGCTTTTGTGTCTCCTCCCCCATTTGGCACTTTTTCTGCTCATTAGTTCTTTCCTCCTGAGGATGAATAAGATCAGAAGGAAGATCAAGTCCAAATCAGTCAATTATGTCCACTTGTCAGCAACCAAAAAAAAGGATGAAGGCCTGGTGTGCGAGGATTCAGAGACAACTTGAGGGATTATTTGTGGATTTCAATTACCCAGTACTTCTCTCTCTATGAGCATGAATTGAGAATCCAGTTTCCCTGGATTCTGGAGCTGGATCACATCTTAAGGAAAATCTTGCCCAATGTTCATATTGTATATGAGGAAACTCAGGATCAGAGAGGATCATTTGTCTGCCCCTTGACACATAGCTTGCTAATGGCAGATATGGTGACCCCCCAGATATTCAGCTTTCTCTACCTTGTAGTTTCATGAAAAAAATTCTAATCCCACGTTAGTCACAGGGCAATTTCACTTAAAATAATACATTTTAATATATTATATTATATTATATTATATTATATTATATATTATAATAACTCCAAAAATAGGTAAAGTCTCAAAAGAAGCAGGGTATGATGGGAAAACCCTAGGAACCATAGGGCTTAGGTCTAATTATGGCTTAATGCTGTGTGTAATTGTTCTGTTATATTGGGCAGATGCCCTAACTTCTCTGGGCTTTCGTTTTCTCATCTACCGAAAAAAGATAATTCTCCCTGCATTGCCTATCCTCACAGAGTTTTGGAGAGGGTCAAAGAATATAAAAATAATAATAAATTAATGGGAATAGCTGGGGAGCTGTCTATAGAGTGCTGAGTGTTCAACATGCATCATCTCGTAATCCTTGTGACAGCTTTATGACTCAGGCAATGTTGAGGAATTGGAAACTAAAGTCCAGCGAGGTTAAATAATGTGTTCAAGGTCACATGGATAATCACGTGGGAAATATTTTGTTAATTCCAAAGTAGATCACAATATGTGTGTGTGTGTGTGTGTGTGTGTGTGTGTGTGTGTGTGTGAGGCAGGGGGGCTGCCTCCATTGGTGCTGAGACAGGCGATGTTCCCTGTTGTGAACACGACACCTGCCATGGATTCTAACTTCTGGTTCACCTGAACTGGAGGCAGCACCTTGAGAAGCAGTTGAGGATATGACTTCTCAAATGAATCAGAGAAGAGTGTGGAAGATCTGCATGGCTAGGTGATCCTTTTAGATTTTAGCCTGGGGAAATAGCTAACCATGGACCAATTTTGGGAACAGGGATGGTATCCAAGGTACCATTTTTGAAATATCAACCAGATATCCGAACCTAAGACTGATGGACGTGTGTGTGTGTATTGCGGGGGGAGGTATTTAAATAAGATAATGTGTTTGAAAGCTTTGAACATCGTGAGGACCCCACGCATGATTCTTTGGCTGCCTTGAGCACATTTCAGGGTGAGTCACTAGAGAATAAAGGAAAGGAAACTGGGATGGGATTCTCTTTGTTCGAACAAATATCTGTTAACAGCATTTTTCTAGATGATTTACCTGTTATAGGTTGTCAGATTGGAAAGACTTCAGAAAATAAAACTCCATCATCCATCTTAATTGTGAGATGGGTTTTTA